GTTTCAGATCTTGCCCTTTGAATGAGACGAAATTTGCCACCTGGCGAGTGAATTGATCAATTGGGCAGATGAACTATGAACCCGATTACGGTCTCTTGACCTCCCAGTATATCACTTTCTTGGGCCTAGGTCCAATGAATAGACAGCCTTTTACAAGCTGGGTCCTATATAGAGAAGTCTTGTCGACGGTGTGAAATCACAAGCGACGCTGTTCACCTTTCGTTTTATACTCAATCCTCGCACAGAGTATCTGTGCATAGTACAGTCACGACATGGACCCAAGTTGTGAGTTTGGATAGTCTAGTTCAGATCAGGGGTGCATGTGCTCGGACGCCGCGCCGACAAGTTGAGCCCAACCGTGTCTGTCAACGCAGACCGTCATCTCTTTGGGATGACTTGCCACTCCTTCTTAAGAAAGAATCATCGTTCATACGGTGAATAGATCCTCAGGAGATATATCATTGGCAGCGAGGGTGCTCCATCTTGCTGTCATCAACATTTTGAAATGGCCTCCGTTCGACCTGTGTTTGGGACCTGATCAACTATGCCGGGCTCAAATCCTACTTTTTTTTGCACTCGTGCTTCATCGTTTCCGAGAGTATAAAAGCTTGGTGTATACATAACGGTACAGTCTACAACTAATTTGCAGACTCAACCAAAGTAAAGGTGAGAGTAGACAAAGAATTCGGATGTGAAATGACGGATCTTGTACAGACTGCGAATCGGTTTCTCATTGGTTGCATTTTCTGAGGTGTCTCGCTAGATTTTGTTTGGATCGTGCCTCACCACTTTCGACGCACCCCGTCAACGAGTTATTTCTAGTCACAAACCGAAAATACATACCAGGTCGGACAAAAGGCCACTCTTTCTTCAAAAGGAGCACAATGGCGCTTTAGGTACGCTTTAGATGCATAGCTCTTTGAGCTGCGGAATACAAAATAGAAGGATAATAGGTGAGCACTTCTTCGATGACATCAAAGTAGGAGATGACACTTACCAGTCTTCTATTCCACAGGCACCATTGCAAGTAAACGGCTTGGCGCCGGTGTGGTTGAGGAGACAAGTGTGGGCCCGGGGCCGACTAGTGCACATCCTGCCGCAAGAGGTGCAAGGAAACTTGTTCCTTTGCGACGTTGATGTTGGGAAAGTGGCTACTGGGGTGGGTGTTGGGCCCACAGCCGAAGGCGTTGGTTGCCCAAATGACTGGCTAGAGGGAACGATCCAGCCAACAGGTAGATCATTCGAATTGAACGTATTGAAGAAAAGGGAGCAGATAACGTCGAGTGGTGGATTAGAAGGTGGATGCAAAGAGATGAA